TCACTCTATAGTACTCACCCAATCCCCAGCTTCCTTGACTTTTCTTGTGGGAAGCTGGCAGGAAGTCACAAGTTGCATGAGGTCCTGGCTTAACGACCTTTGATTTTCACTTAACAATGGCAGTGGGGACTGCTGGGATTGCCATCACTAAGTGATGTGCTCATGTGACATCATGCTTTACAACCACATTGTTTAGCGATGGAAATTCCGATCCCAGTTATTGTTGTTAAGTGAGGACTACCAGTAGAAGTCGCGTAGAAGGGTATATATCCATTTCTCCCAAGATTTCAAAAAGTGTTAATTTATTTTTCAAGTTATAAGAAATATAACTTGAAGAAGAACTAAGAATAGTTTCAAAATTTGAAAATGTATTGTTAATGAACAGTATCTCAATCACATGTATTAAGTGCATATTCAGAATAAATAGTTCTAAGGAATGTAGTAAGGTCCTTTTTGTTATTTGTAAATTTAAGAAGTTGATTTAGAAATCTGTACAAAATGTTCTTCCTCAGAGTAATCATTGAATGTTGAACTGTGAATCATTCTGTTATTTATTATGGATATATGAATTTCTGTCCGCACTGCATCTATTCAGTATGAACAATTCAGTATGTATGGTATATCATGTATGATTTAATATAATTGGTAAACCAATGCATCATTTTATTTTATTTTTACTTTCAGGATGTTTGAAAATAAGCTCAAACAAATGGAAGCTGAAATTGCCAGAAAAAATCAAACCATTAGTGATCTGAAACAGTTGCTACGAAAGCCAACAGAGAGTGGAGAAAAAAATGAAAAATGTGTTGAAGACTACGTTAAAGAACAAGTGAGTAAAAATTTATTTTTATTTATTTGGTGCCTTCAAGGCAGTGTTGACTCCTGATGACTGGCTGGACAAGTCCCTGCAGTTTTCTTGGCAAGATTCCAGAAGTGGTTTGCCATTGCTTCCTTCCTAGGGCTGAGAAAAGCCCAGCTGGCTTTGTGCCTAAGGCAGGGCCAGAACTCATGGTCTCCTAGCTTCTAGCCTGGTGCTTTATCCATTACAACCAAACTGTCCCTTTTTGAATAAAATTTACTGTGGGCATAATTTGAAAATATACAGCATTTATATTTTACTGATTTGTTCCTTTGTAAGTGTGTTTTTTCTTTCTGGTTCGTGTCTTAGAGGGCAGGTTACTCCATTCTGAGATAGCATTAACTCCTGGTTCTCTACTGGGGGAAAAACTTCCTAGAATGGGCATGTCTTCTTTGATCAGGAAATTAAAGCTTTATAAAGCTCTTTAGAATTCTATCTTCTAATTATTCCTGATTATCATAGATTATATTATTTTATATTGCTTTTAATCTCTTAGTATTGTTTAATAAGGAGTTGGAATCAGGCACACATGCAAAAAAAAAAAGTCGTATAGGACATCTGAAAGCTGATCCCTTTACAATTGCTTATTTACTTCACTTTGACAGACAATTGCCACTGAGTTCTTTTGCACACTTCTAACAACTATGTCTATTTGTCAATGAGATTAAAAGTGAGGATCTCTATCCCACAATAGGACAAGCTCTTCTGCAGGAAGCAGCATGCTTTTTTTAAAGAAAGCTTTTCTGTTTATCAATTTACTGTACATGCTGGGGAATGGCAAAAAGAGAAACAACACAATTCTTCTGCAAAAGATGTCTTGTAGCTCATTTACCTTATGTTTTTATTTTACTTTTGGAAGCTGAAAATGGCACACATGAAAATATTACTGTACTGACTTGGTGTGTTAAGTTGGCAAAGACTACCAGAATCATCTGGTAAAATTGCATTGTCAATATGGACTTTAAGGCATTGGATGGGGGG